TAATTAAGAATATTAGAGTCAGCATTATTACATTAACTTATCATTATTTATTTGTCAATATTATTAAAATTTTAGAATGAAAACCAGAATTAATACACACTCTCTGTAATTGTTTCTCCCAAATTAATTATTCACTTCGGAATGAACAGTTTATTGAAGCACGTTACGAGCAATAATTCACATACTATACTAACATGTATGTTTTCATGACAATTAATAGAACTTCATTAAAGAAAACAATTAATTACGACAGTTACCAATTCAAAAGTTCAGAATGCAATTTCATTAAAATCTGACAATGAGGAAATTGTCAATCTGTGAACGATTCTCCAACGTATTGCCATTGCTAATGTATTACGTGTATCTCTGATATCGTCTTAGTTCCATCTATTTCTTGATCAAATCATCCTGTTCTACCATGCCGTTTGCTCAAAGGAACTTGTGGTGACAGTGACACACAGAAGTAGTTCTCGGTTCTGACACATTTCGAAGCTTCCTGCAGATTGTGCAAAGGACAATTATAGAAATCATAGTTGAATTCCATGAGATCTTCTATCATGCTTATACATTAAAAGACTGAATTTCTCAAGAATCTGTTTAATTAATTCTAAAACCAAGCTTAACTTCATTAATTCACATGCATTTTAATGATCAATAATGTCATACAAACGTTTGAAAGTATATCATTAAATTCAGATTTTCACAGATTTCATTTAAAAGTTTAAATAGGCAATGAGGTGTAATAGTATCGAAATAAAAATGTGAAAACTTATTAAAACCAGGAAATCATATTAAAATTAATGAAATGAGAATGAAGCGGCGTTTTCGCGTACAACGCGGAATTATTAATGAAGTTGACATTTCCATTAAAAGGCGATGAAGTAGTCATAGTCACATTTTAATTTTCCATTCAATTTTCATCTGACGAGCGATCAATGCAATTTCTGGCAAGCTGAGAGATTAGATTGCCTCTCTCCCTGTTATTTTTTTTGTGTTTCTACCTAGCGAGGCACCGAGGGAACATACTGAATGGATCAATTTTGTCTGGTTACAGCGTGTATGGCGTCGTACGCGACGGAGACCGTGATGAATCTGTGCCATGGGAAACGACGTTGCTCGGTGGTGGCAAACAGTTCAACGTTCGGTGAACCCTGCAGCCCGGAAAGCAGAACTTATCTGAAAGTTGTCTACACGTGCGGTGAGTCTAATTAACTTTACGAATGCGTTGACTCAATTACATTTGGCTTTCGAACTTAATCATTTAAAATATATCGAATTCGTATGATTTGACTGCTTCAAAGGCTTTTAAAATTCACAGATAGTATAATACTCCTAATATATCCAAAATTATTTATACATATTGTATACAGTATAATTTATAGCACAGAGTATAAAATTATAAAACCATATGATTTGTAAATATAATAGTAAAATGCAACATTCCACAAGTGATTAATAAGAATTCATATTCTATCTGTGGTTAGACTCTTCATATCAAAATCTACGCAACAAAAAAATTTTGTCTAATCCCAGAAATATCCCTTAGCCATGATAATTATCACATTATATCATTTTGATTAATCACAGATTGTTTTTAACACTAATTTGTTTATACATTTAATGGGTAATCGGACTTGCGAAGGAATTGATAAATGGACGTAATAACGCGGGCATCGGAAATATTCCGCTGAAATTTTGATATTTTTCATCTGCGATCAACGGACTGGAATATTTGTTTCCTGCGGAACGTCACTGTTTTCTGTGATCTTTTATAAAACGTTTCGCGGGAGGGGTAACTGTTCGTTGTTACGTAATAAATCATCACGTATTTTTAATCCATGAGTGAAAACGAGCCGGATGTATGAAAGCGGCCAATTTAATTTAAACCATGAACAAATACTCTCTCCATCAAACAATTTCACGTCTGATATGAGATGTGCTAATTGCTTGAGAGAGAAAAAGTTCTGTTTTCGCTACACAGTAAAATCACAGTGAAAAATAAGGGTTACGGCAATGCAAACAGGTTATTTTCAACCATTTTTAAATTGTTCCGAAAAGCTTGAAAACGATTGACACAGTTGGTTCACCGGATTATTTCCGTTAATGGCTTTTAACTCGGGATGGCTCGTTTCTGTTCTTAATGGGCAACCAACCCAGATGAAAGCACTGACTCATCGTCACCAGCCATTGTTTGAATCGGTGACGAATGAATAACGTTCAGCTATATATTTTATTCAATGTCTCCGTCAATTTTTCATACCCTTCAAGTCCTAAGATTTACCGATTTTCCGATAAGTTGGATGAAAAATGTTCCTTTTAACGCTTTGAAATAGACGTTTCATTTAGATAATTTTACACAATAATTGTCAATTTTAAAGCAACGCAAGCTGAACCTCCGACGCTATTTTTTATTCACCATCCGAGTACGAGATTGTAGGTGAATATGATATAAATTGTGAATCTTGATGGCAGATTCGGTAATGAATAGCATTCGGGGAGAGAATGGAATATTTGAAACGCTTGCGACGAAACGATTTTGTGGAATGTTAATTTATTATTGTTCATTATTTCACTCGTGCACCAGGATTCGTATTTCATTGTTCATTATTCGGACGTTATGAGCACGAATTATTATTTAAAATTCAGCAATTTCGTACGCATTTTTGCTTTCGAATAAAAGAGTAACCTGAAATTAAAATCTCAATTAAGACACTAATTTAGATTTTAACAAAATTATTTTTACAATTATTACATCAATTACATGGAAGAGTATAAAACAGAGATGCCATAAATAAAATATTAGAAAAAAACATTATGATTCTCGTATTCTATAATAAATGAAAAACCACAATTTAGAAATTTAATTTGTCTTAATTTTAATGCCTCTGGGCAAATGACTCGTCACATTGTCAGTAATATAATATATTTCTGCGCAAATGACTCGTTTTCTTCTAGGCAATATAATATTACGCTCCAATTAAGGACACCCTTTTCACGTACAAAATATTAAAACACGATTCGCGAACGAGCGTAGCTCGCAACTTAAATTAAGTATACTTAGGACACCGTGAATAATCTTAAAAAAGATCGTTGAAAATCCTGGAAAAAGGAAAACAGGAAATTTCCACCGTTCTGACTTTCAAATCCCATTAAACTCCGACGAACAACGGGGACGGAATCATACTATGTAAAGAAAATCTTCTGGCAACCGTCGAAAACTCGCTTCTCATTTCAATCCCTTGCGAGTACCTATACCTACCCTCGTGCCTTGTGACTCCCCTGCCTATGCTGGCGCAGCGGACAGGAGACTATCCCTGGGAAACTGAACAAAAGAAGTTGGGCGGTGTAGCCGCTTTATAAAAAGCTGGTTTGAAGGGTAATTTGATAATCTCGATGACACGTCGCGAAGCGTAAAATTTTCGAAAACGGCCCGCTATCTAACCAGGAGCCACTAACGGCACCCCCGACGGTCCATCCAACCGTTGCGTTCCCGTGAAAGATTCCGGAATAATGATACCCGCCTCGGCTTTTAACGAGCATCCGCGCACGTTCGACCAAAAATTCGCTCGGGCATCAAGCGCAGTAGCTACGTATATCTATACCGCGAGCCACGCCGCGTACAATAATAACGAGCCGAGCAGCTTGTAACGCAAAGTTATTTCATTGTGCACGCGACACTAGAAGAAATGGGATCTCCTCCGCTTTTATATCCCGCTCTCTTTTGCTTGCTTTTTCTTCGTAACTGGGTTGAGAACTGGTCCGGATTCAGTCGCGGACACTTTTAATGGTACTCGTCCGTCGCGCAACATTGTCGCGCGATAACGACCGACTGCTCGCATTGTAGCTGGAGTTTACGGCAGCACCGCACCCCCGCGGAATCGCCGGATTCCAGGCCGACGCGACGGCAAAACGAGGCTCGTTAGGCTGTTTCTACTTTGCTTCCGATTTTTCTTCATTTCCATGTAGCTTTCAGTGCAGATGTATTAGACTATTTGAATTTAAATATTGACAATAAGTAGACGTGACGATTATGATGAAAATGCAGTTATTTATGTAAATCTGTAAACGTTCGGTCTTTCAATTAATTCCTTTTACATTTACAAATTATCAGGAGTCAGGATATTAAATTATTACAATATGAATATAATAAAATTTATTAGTTTTTTTAGAAGGCAGATGGATCACTAATACTAAATAATGTATAACAAAAATTTCAAGAAAATTAAGATTGATAGCAACAGTGAGAAAAAAAAGTGAAGGTAATTTTTTTTCAATTCTTTTCATCTGGGCTTGCAATGAAAATTTCAACAACACGTTTTGAATATTTATATCAGTTAAGGACATGCTGAAAACGTTACAGAAATCTGTCAGTT